GATGAGTGACTCTTGAGAAGTGCGATCTATGTTACACCCCTTTGGAAAATAAAAAAGATATCATTATCCAGATTTTTCTGTATTCCCAATTCAGTCTAGAGTAGAGGTAATAATATTTTCTCTGTGATCACATAATGATTTAAAGATCCTCACCACTCTGCTTTTTTTTTTTTTTTCTTTTTCTGTTTAATGTATTATAATGTATAACCGGTCTTTTTTTTCTGGTCTAGTAAATGTTTTACATGGGTGATCTCTGGAGTAACCAGAGAATCTATTGATGCTCTTTTCATTTCTATTGTAGATTATGATGAGCGGATCATGAAACAACAGCAAGAAGAGGAGGAAAGAAAACGCCAACGTCGTGAGAAAAAGAAAGAGAAGAAGGTTAGTATTACAGTGAGCTAATATTAAATTGTAATTTGGGATCATACAAATGCACATCATGAGGAGCTGAAGTTTGCCTGTCAATTCAGCCAGAGTATAATTTGTCATTTCTGTGTTATTTACTCTTAGAATACTGTGTTTTGTTAGTGTCTTCTTCAAATAATGATTGCTAGTGGTAATGGATGTCTATTGTTGTCACTCAGAAAGAGAAGGCCACCGAGGAGGAACCTGAGATGGATCCTGATGTTGCAGCTATGATGGGATTTGGAGGTTTCAAGTCATCCAAAAAATGATATACTCCGAAAATTCTTTTAAGGATGGCTTGATCAAACCTCTAATTTACTGAAGCTCTGGTCATCATCCTCTTCGTTCATTTAGATGGATATATACTCTCTACAGAAGCATGGAAGACCTTGTCAGAATAGTTGGATACAACTGGCTGGCGTTCATTACTTGTTGATATTGATACGCGTTTTTTCTTCTGCATATCTACTCTGTAATGTTGTAGAAGATCTAGAAAATGTAACGCAGTTCTTTATTCATGAAATATGGCTTCAGTCATCTACCCAGGTATAATTGGTACTTTTGTTTCTCTGAAATTTTCTGGATTAAAACAGGGTTCAGTTTTGAGAGGAGAAAAGAGAGCCTGAACGTTTCTTGGCTGCAATATGTACTCTAATATCTAAATTATCAGACAATCATGTACATTTAACATTGCAGCATTAGGCCCTATGAGTTCACCTTTGCCCAAGGGCATGTACCAATTTTCATGACCTCAATTTTGTTTGTAGTCCATGAGGAAGTTCTCGTTCTGGATTTGAGTGATTGGGGTAGGGGTCATGGACTGGAGGAGTATGAATTTTAAGAGATACGTGTTAGATGGAATTTCTCACTGGGGGATGTAATGGTTTGTGGGAGTATAGAGATGAGTTTGCATTTTTGAGCTAGATGCCATTTATCGAGTCTGTCAATTCGTATTATTGTACCCGAGTTTGTCAGCATGCCTCCGCCTTAGAAAAAGTTAGGCCTCGTCATCTCTTATGCCCAATATAGCCTCTAAACAGTTTCTTCATTTTCTCAAAGCTTCTGAAATAGGATAGATATGTGATACAAGAGTTTAGATCATATCAGTACTCATTCAGGATGCTTTGCAGTTGCCTTTGTAAATGATTCTTTATATCAATGATCGTTCTGCTGACAAAAAGATAGAACCATAATCGTAAAAGTTTAGGCTTGTTTTATGTGCATATCAGGCTTGTGTGTGGGCTAGGAATACTTAGCCTAATGCTGCATTATTGTGGGTGCTTCATTTAGTCATTGTGTTATTATGGTAAATTCACTCATAATATAATTCTTCATTATCGCACAAATAAATACACATGACAAGACATACATTGTTACATTATCCCTCCATGTCAACAAAGGGATACCTAATATGAATGTTGTAGCAAACTCAACTTTCACCTTCCATTTTTGCGATTGTGAATGCTCAACCAATGTATATTTTGCAGACATACTGTTGAGAATGAAGTAGAAAAAGCACACTCGCCAATCTAACCCAAATTTTGACCCCTTAGAGACGGGGGTTTCTGATACTCACTCAACCTTGGTTCCAAATGATAAGTAAGTGCGTATAGCACCTGTTTTGAGCTTCTATACTTGCTTATATATAACTAATTGAGTGGATATCTATCTAATTTAGAGGTAAATAGGTTAATTGTAGGTAAGTCCCCGATTTAGGTGTATTTTGATGCAATTTGCGAGAAAAATATGAAATTAGAGTTGATTTGAAGAAATTGATTAATTGGAAGCATTAATGGATCAATCAGGCGTGATTCACAAGTTTCGGGAGCTAACTTCTATGTTTGATAAGTTTAGAGAATTAATTGCAAACTTTCAGGATTTGCATCAGATCAGTTACGAATCATTGAGGAATGTGGAAGATTAAATAAGTGCAAAAATGAAATGACGTGAGCTAGATAAAAGAAGGGAATATTTCACTCGTTGCTATCACAAGAGTAATCTAGACAAAAACAGAGAGTAAACAACCTCAGTTGTGTGATCACACCTCTTACAAATTAGAGGTATGATTTGCGTAAAAATATTTTCCTTTTCCCCATAAACATATCCATTTTAATTTATCATGGAGTAAAGTGCGAAAAAGAAATGACGCGAGATGAACAAAAGAAGGGAATATTTTACTCCTTGCGATTACAAGGGTAATCTAGACAAAAGCAGAGAGTAAACAACCTCTGTTGTGCAATCACACCTCTTACAACTTTGAGATCGCAAGATCTAGGCTGATAAGAAAATATTTCTTTTCCTTGTTTTGATCAACCTCTTTATGAAACCAATTAGAGCACGAATTTTGACCTTGACTCATAAATACAAATATTAATCTAAAAACAAAAGGGGAGGAAGCTTTGTGTCTCTTGTACATAAAATCGCACATTCATTATAAAGGAAAAAGCAACCAAAGTTTAGAAGAAACTTTTGTTGTCAAAACTTTTGTTGCAATACACCAAATTTCGTATCTTTTCATTCACAATTGCATGATGTTGAAGAAAAAGAAGATTAAAGAAGAAAAATCAAGAACCATGGGAGGAATTCAATATTCAAGATTATTTTTCATCTTTTTTCTCAATTTTATTTTGGGTGATATTGAATATACTTAGTTGTTGTTATTATATTCATATGACGCTTGATTGGTTGTATAGATACTAGAATAACGTTGAACCCTACGTTTTGTATTAAATTTTAGATTTGACATTGGATGTTTGTTTCGTTTGAGTGGTGGTTAGGAGTTCAATGCTTTAAAATTAATTAGTCGTTAATTGATTAGACGAGCGATTTGTATTCACATTGTGGAGAAGGAATAGAAATTTAGTACAAGTAGTAATCATTATAACATCCTATAGACGTTTTGGGATAACTGCCTATGCTTTGCAGGATCCAAATAGATGTTCTTGTAATTTAATGTATTTTCATATGTTCGCATTTGGGATAGAAACATTTTCAGCTCATATGTGATGCATCATAAATCTAGTTATACTTAGGGAGAAATTACTAGATGAATTAGGAACATTGATCTTCAAGTACGAATAAAAATTGTCAAATTGTGGGATTAATATTAAGATAGATGAATGCACAGGATACGAGGTTTTAGTGCTTTTACAATTATTTGATTATCATAAACGTTTCGTAACACTTAGTTAAGTATTTTTAAATAATTAGATTAAACTTAGATTGTTAATATCATCACACTCTTCTCTATTGTCTATTTATATTCAATTAGAGTTAGGTTAACTAGAAACCAAAATGTATACTTATTTCTCGTGGGATCGATAGTTGAACTTTCATCCACTTTATTATTTGTTTACGATCTAAACACTTGCAGGATAGAAAAGAAAAAAATCAACAATATCGAACTATAAAATGATTACAAGTGTTTCTTATCAAAGATGTAGTAAATTCACTAGAGCGTCACGCTTAGGAAGCCAAACACCACGAAGGACAAAGTTCATGGTCCAGTGCACATAAAATTTCGAACAAGAAGAGCCTCTTCATCATGCAAGTAGAATCTTTGGTGGTGCGACTTAAATTCCCGTAATACATAGGAAACATATAATTTATCCATTTTCCTCTTTGTATTTACTCCTCTGAGGTTTAACGCGCCCTCTATTCCTTATTTGATTTTTTTTTTTTTGGTTATATCCCATAGATTAGAAATATGAAGTTTAAACACTTCATACACCATTATACTTGTTAGGTTCCAGTTCGATTCTCCGAACCGAAGATCGATCCGATCCTAAACAGTTCTTGATTCTAGAATTGGAATCATGAGTATCAGACTTTGGAATTGAAATTGTCATTTTTTTTTTTGTGAATTTTTTTTTTTTTTACAATTTATTCACTTTAACCCAATGATTTACAATTTTTTTAGTTTTTTTTTTGTTTTTTTGTAGTTTATTCGTTGTAATAAATACTCTAATGAATCTGATTCATTCATTTGAATAATTGAATCATATCTCTCGATCATAGCAACTTTTGACCGTACTTTACATGCTGCCAACCCCACAAACACTTCTTGAGACGTTGTACGCAGAGTAACATCTAGAATTGAATGCTATTTGATGGTGACATGTTTTATTTCTTCTATTTCTGCTAGATACAATTTGTTTTGTCAGTACACAATTTTTTAAGAAGAATTATGGCTCCATTAATTAAGTGGGGACCCGAATGTTCCATTTACAAAATACTTGAAGTGTAATGAGTAGTTCTTGGTATTGAAATATTCCAACTGAATCCTCCCAAGCCTCAGCAAAACTACCGCCGATGAGGTTAAATTTTTTATTAAATTATAATCGCAATTATTGATAGTCTCAAAATAATATTCCAACTCCAGACTATTTTTATAAAATCTAAACCATAACGGAACTAACTTTTCCTCATCCTAATGGTCACCTCAGCAGCATCCTCCATTTGTTTCTTTTGCCTAATAAGAGAAGCTACAGCTAAAAAAAATTGTGTGTTAAAAAGGAAAAGATATCAAGCGCTAACTTCTCAAGCAATTCGTCTTGATACTGCATTGTCAGCCGAACATTGCTCGGTGCTTCCTACAGTTCATCCTGCACAATAAACGTAGAAGAAGAAAATGAAGTAAGAAAAGCATCGAGACACAATGCAAAGCATTTTGGTAAAACCAGAAGCAAAGGAAACACCCATACATGTACATCATCATCCACTGAAGCATCATCATCTTCCATTGCGTCCGACTTGATGTCATCATCAGTGTCATTGCCTTCTGCGTCCTTGGCATCATCATCACCATCCTCAGCCTGTAAAAAGAGCCCTCAAATTCGGATCATAACTCAAAAGACACGTGCTAAAAATAATTTTAAAAGAAGTATGAAGGCTTACATCTGAATCAACTGAATCATCCTTCGGTTCCTGAGCAAAATAAAAAATAGTTGCAAGGCATATAAATTAGTTTTTTTTTACCAAAATAATAGCTTCTTCACAGATTTTGCCATCAGTCATCAAATTATTATCCCATCAAATTTTATCCAACATCAGAAATGAATGCAGTACCTCCTCCTCTCTCTTCTTTTCAGCTTCATCAAATGCAGCCTTCTCAGCCTGCAAAATGAATATGGATTCATGTATCACTTTCCATCTGCTGGGACAGGTGTGTCATAAAAAAGGGAAGAGAAGAGGCCTCTTAAGTATAAAAGCAACATACATATTTGTGTTTGCCCCATGACTCTTCAGCTACCTTCTTGGCATACTCGGCATCATCGCATAACAATATATTGTCAAACAGGGTTCCAGATTTCACCTGAAAATTCTTTCACTTGCTCAGATTAAATTTTGATTATAACACTGAACTGACAGAAATTCTGTCCTACCTGCCACAACTCAATGCCCACGTACTTCAAATTTGGGTAAACATAGAGATCTGGATCATCTTTGAAGTCTATAATCACAAATAATAACATATTAGATAAAGTTAAAACTCGTGCATTATGAAGATGCACTTAAGTTCTGAGAACAGATGTTACAGACAGACCAGGATTATCAATCATTGGTGCCTTCCATTTGCCCTTGTAGTTGGGGTTCTTAATTTTCTGGGCAATAGAAATAGACAATTTTATAACCACTCGGATTAGCAAAAGCAACATTTACAACACTAACACAGACTCAAAAAACCTTTGGCTTCCATGGACCCTTGTACTCGGGGTTGGCAATTGTTGGTGGTGTCCACTCACCATCTTCCTCATCGTCCCAATCCTCAGGCTGCAATTGTAAACCATCATAATTGAGTAAAGTAAATAGAGTAGGAGATTACATAGAATATAGTGAAGCAGGAAAATTAGATTATATGCCTTCTTGGCATCTGGATCTGGCAACTCCTTGGGGATTTCATCATAACCCTGCAGGCATATAAAAGTTAATGGCATTATTATCAACTCACAAGTCATAAACATGTGCTCTAACGTTACACGGGGCATTGGTACAGAAAAGGAAGGCCACGAAACGTTAAAGTTCGGTAACCTCAGGCTTCTTGTCTTCAGGGTCAGGAATGTACTCCTTGTCATCCCAATCTTCGGGCTGTCACCAACATGCAGCAAGATCAGTTTCATTGAACCAATGGAAGAACAAAATTTTCAAGTATAATTGCACAAATGAATACCTTCTTGGCCTCTGGATCCTTGATCTTCTTTGGTGGGAGAATATCCCAATCAGAGTATAAGCTACCTGACTGCTTCTCCACATTGTCAACGAGGATGCTGTAAGAAGCATCAGGCCGGAGGACAAATGTATAGACATGAGTCAGTTGGTCTGTCTCACACGGGACTTCCTTCTTGATCAAGTGGTTTGTCCCATTGTAGGTGAGAATAGCATGGACTTTCTTGGTGCTGTAGCCACAAATATCCGGTCCAAACATGACGCTACATCGACCCATATAGTACAACCAAATCAGCAACTTCAACAGGGACAACATACCAAAATAGGAAACACCTGTCAGATGGCAAGAGCATATGATGTTACCTGTATGGGGTCTCACCACCAAATTTCTTCTGATCAATTTCACCACTAAGCAACTTCATGTATCCACCACCACAGTCAAGCTTCTGTTCATGCTTGACGGAGAACTGGAAAACTAATGTCTTGTCCTTGTTGCTGAATTCAGGGAACTCAGCTGAGATGGCATAAAACCTGTAGTCTTCACTGGTCTGGATACCTGCACTAAGACATAGAAGTAAATCCCCTTGGATGGTTGGGAAAGAAGACCTCTGGAGGTCAATTATTCAGATAGATAGCAGAGCTTAGTTGTAGTTCGCGCAAACGCAAGGGACTTCTAAGCCATAGAAGTAAATCCCCTTGGACATCACATATTCGGTAAATACAATATATATATGTGTGTATATATATATATATTACGCAAACATCTGTATGTACTTAAGACTCGTCAACCAATGACATGTTTACCTTTGTCGGTAGAGTCTCCATTCCATTTACCGGAGGTAAAGTTCCATTCTCCAGCCATGTTCTCATCTTTCTTCCAGTCAGATTTGACCCACCGATTCCTCCATCCATCTTCATATTTCACAAAGCAAAACATTCAATACAACATAACCAATCTAACAGCAATTAAAGCTATCAATACTGTAAAAGAGAGTTGAATGTAACCAGTTTTTTACGAAAAAAAGTGATCTAGTTAAATCTTAATAGAGAAATATCACTTGTCCAAGGCAAAGGGAAATCTCCAATAAGTGAAGTAAATCACACATATTTTCACAAGTCTCCTGTCTCTACATGCCTTGCTTTTTTCACCTTTCGTTCCTTCATAAAGTTTGTAAAGTTTCCGCCATATGTTAATAGAACTGTGTTTCTTTAATGAAGTTCTAAATTATCCAATTATCCAGCCTCTGCTTATAGAAGGAAATGCATTATGATAATGGCTAAAATATTAACTTTTGTCACGTGAATTCGTACTATATCCATTGAATGTCTGTTCAAACATATAAAATAAAAATTTTGACACTAAAATATGGATCAAGCATAAACAACGAACGTTCATTGGTCATATTGAGAATGACCACTGCTTTCATGTCAAATTGATCGCACCCTAGCATCAATCAATTTAGTTGTTTCAAAATAAGATCACAATTCAGTAATCTGACACAAATTTTTTTTTAATCCAAAACCAGAAGGCGCAACCCTCAGCAGATCCATTCAGACAAAAATCATATCTGCATGCACATTGTTAAATTGAAACTAGAATCCTTCAATCAAAATGATAAGATCGACTCATAAATAGAAATCATGTCCCATTCCTTCACAAATTGTATCGAAAGATATCGATAAACCGAAATTTCGTCGAAATGTTATCAACTTAAATTATATTTAGCTAATCACAGCATTAATTTTTTGAAGAGAGAAAAACACAGCACCATTGAAACGCTCTTCGAAGAAGACTTCTGCAGAAGAGATCGCGAAGAGAAGAGAGATAACGACGGCTAGAGCGAGAAAATTAGGGTTCATCAACACCCTTATTTGTACTGTCGCCATAGCTCAGGAGATGGTGCATGTGTGTGAAAGATCAAGCTATTTATACACGTGAATTGTTCCTTGAGAATAAAATGCTCGGCAGATGGAATATGCGTATTGACGTGGACGAATAGTATTTTGAAAAGCGAGTCGAGAGAATGGAATTAAACGTGGCGGATTTTGATTGGGAAAGAGCTTCTAGGCTGCAGTGACACTTGTACCCTAATCGGCAGTTGAAACTTACTGATTTCGGGTGTGTTTGAATCACATTATTTTGAAAAAATGTATTTTGAAATAATAGATTGATAGAGAATGTATGGTTGAAAAAGAAGGAAAAATTATAAATGTGATAGAAATATTATTTTATTGAAGAATTTGTGGTTGAAAATGAGTTAAAATATGCTAAATAAGATATTTAAAATTTGGTAAAAAAGCCAAATAATAGTATAGGCCCGATATTAGGGTGTGTTTGAGCCACATTATTTTGGAAGAATGTATTTTGGAATAATAGATTGATAGAGAATGTATGGTTGAAAAAGAAGGAAAAATTATAAATGTGATAGAAATATTATTTTATTGAAGAATTTGTGGTTGAAAATAAGTAGAAGAATGAGAATGAAAATTTCAATGTGGTTCAAACATGGGCTTCATGTTGAATGGATGGATGGATTCCATCAAATTCTCATTTAGCCATCTGCATTAAAATTTTCATTCTCATTATTCTACTCAATTTCAATCACTCATTTTTCAATAAAATAATATTTTTCATCACATCAATAACTTTTCCTTCTTTTTCAACCACACATTCACTATCAATCTACTATTCCAAAATACATTCTTTCAAAATAATGTGGCTCAAACAAACCCATAATCTTTAAAATTCAAAAGGGTAAAGTTGTCATTTTAAATATTCTTAGCCATCCTCGTATGTAAAATTCATTTTTTCTTCAAATATTAAACGCTTACAAAATAATGGGACATGATTACTATAATTTCTATTTAAAAGGAGAAGTTCTTGCTTCCCGTTCCAAATCTCAATCGTAAGATGCACACTTGCTTCCAACTTAAGGACACAGAGGACACGAATTGCTGTTAGACACTTCTACATGCAATTGGTAGCTGGTGACCTTTACTGACATAAATTCAAAAGACTTTAACATCTCAGTTACAATATACATCAATCTAGGTACCGAAATGTAAGTACAGGACTTGAACACTACTGATACGATAAAAAAAATTCTTCAGAGAATGTTGTAGGCATATTATGTGTATGTCATATTATCTATGTCCAAATATCCTGTAATCCAGAATTTATCATGTTCTTAAGATTAACGAATAACTGAGCTAAAAACAAGCCGAGCTAGGTCAAGTTTAGCAAGCTCAAGCCAAGCTCAAGCTCAAGCCAAGCTCAAGCTGATCAATAAACTAGCTCAGTCCAAACCAAGCCAGGCTTCAAACCAAGGTCAAGGTCAAGCTACAATTTGAGACCTAAATAAATTACACTCTAATCTAAACATTATATTTGAAGAAGTAGATAAAAACTAATTTACTATGAAAATACAGAAAAAAAATGCAGACGTAAAAGAGCTTCAAAAGTTATTATCTCATAATTTTTTTTCAATTAAGTCCAATAATTAAAAATCGTATACCTGAGCAGCTAAACAAGCAAAGTTTATCTACTCAACCATCATTAATTAAGCTCAACTCATAAAACAAAAACCACAATCTAAGTCTAATCAAGCTGACATGAGCCATAGTCTATCTAAAATAGACCAAAAATCTTGTCTACGGTGTTTACAACATTTGACATTATTTCTGCTAACATACTCTTCTAAGAAAGCAAATTGGCCAATTTGGAATTTACACAAACACATTGGATTGTTCCACGACTCATTCAATCTTTTTGAATCTCAATTTTAAATGATTATCTAGGCACTGCAGATAATATATCCAAGAGCTCCTTAGAAACTGGCTAAATGGTTATCTGGTAAATTAAAAACAGATTTCTTAATAACCATGAACAAGCAGTGACTAGAGCAGCAGCAGATTCTAACTAATCAAAAAACAAGAACTAGGTTGGAAACTTGCAAAAACAACAGGAGCCCAAACATAGTTCGTTTGTATGAGGTTACAGACATTTAAAATCTTCCCTAGGTAGTTGTAGTGATTAAACATAATTATGAAATGACAACTAATAAAAGAACTATGTAATAAACTAATAAACAGTTGTAGTACGTTTTTGTAGAGAAGATTGAATAGCATTGGCCATTATAAAGAAATAAAAAGAAGTTAAAATCTTATTCATTATACTATCCAATCCTCACTAATACTGCAACAAAGCATACACACCGTGTTGTATCAATCAGAAATCCTCCAATCCAGTCATATCTCATACACTAAACATAATTAAAATAGTACATTTAACATTTTAAATGGCATGAAAAAATTCCCATGTCACAGAATTTCATATTGATATTGGCTGTGAATTGGGACTAGCTTACAACAGCAGAAGTGCCGGATGCAAGACAGGGCACACTCTAAATTATGCCTAAAACTCACTTTTCAGCATGAAGCTCAAGACCATCCTATGTTACATACAGACACTTGCCCTCTAATTGGAATTTCAAGATATTGGCAACTACAAGAAATTTGATGCATAGTTTCCACTCCTCACAAAAGTAACCACAATGTCTCTTTCAAGAAAACTCTCCAAACATCATTGCTAATCATTACCAAATAATACTCGAGTAACCTATGAAAGTCTGTAAAAAACAGTATCACCTTGTACCATCTGAACAATATTCGATGTGAAGTAACTAAATATCAACCACACACTGCTAAAAGGGGACTTATGGTAATATTACTTGTATCATGTGTTGAGGTCATTGGCCTAAAATAAACAGAAATAGAGAGAAGAAAACATTTGCACAATCTATTTCATTATTAAGTGGTACTTTTACATTGGAAAGGGGGAAAAAGAATAGGAAACTTCACCAAGTCCACTATTAGCAAACGTAGAAACAATCCCTAGTCCTTATTTCAGCGAAGAGAGCAAAAGCTTCTTTGCTAAAATTTTGAAGCTTCGCGTATGCCCCTCATTGCATATGCACATGCACATGATAACATCACCTATAACGGTCTGCATTTTATATTTAACTAGTTTATGATGTTTAGTAGTACTCCTGTCTTTACAGTGGAGAATTAGCTCGACATAGTTTATAATGCATTTGTTAACCACAATAATTTTGACGGGCTAAACTTTCAAAAGTGAGTGCTCTTCATTGGTATACACTATAGAGTATACTTAATTCTCTTATCTTTTTCCAAGCATGATGCTTCTTCTGGTTCAAGCATCATTTACTCTATAATGTAATATCACGCCACATTTTAAAGTAAGTGGTCCATACCCCTATTTCATTCCAAAAAAGATACTGATTCACAAGAAGTTATCCAAGAAAATATTTCATTACTAGTATCTTCCTAGATCCTCTTATCAATTCATGTACCAATATAAGCATTTCGGTAGACTGCTTAACCTCGAGACCCTGTCCAAAAATAAATGATCATTTCTAGCCAGTCCTCTCTCGTATAAATAACCATGTCTAGCCAGTAGCTTTGTTACATACAACAATATAAAAGTGAAATCATAGTCTCAATAAACTTGAAGTTGACATAGTCAATCATTTTATAGCACTCTATGCAATCTAGCTTGACATCTACTAAAAGTTGCAATAATCCAGCTGTAATTCAAGTAAAAGGAAAAAAAAAATAGTGTATCCAATTACTAAACATAACCAAAAGGGGCATAATGCACCTAAGAACAAGTCAATAGAGTTGAAAGATTGCATTTGTTTATAAACAATGAACTCTTGCAGTTGAATTGGATTCTTAATAATTCCATAACTAACTCAGAAAATCAATGTACAAAATAAAATGAAATTTGATGTGTAGTTACCAAATGTCAAGAAGTTGATTTCTAACTATATTGTTGACAACCAGCAAAGCTTTATAGTTTTTCATTCTCGAACAGTACAACTACTCGTTCATAACAATCCTGGACCCAGTTCTTGGGCTGCCCACAAAGGCAGAGGTGCCTGAATCAAAACTGGCTGAGCTGTAACAGGATGATCGAAAGACAAGCTTTCTGCATGAAGTTCATGGCCGTCATATGTTGTGCCCTTCCATTCATAGACACCCTCATACTTCACGTCGCCTCTTATGGGAATTCCAAGATACTGGCAATGCAAACGAATTTGATGTGTTCTTCCACTCCTAGGATACGCTCTTAACAGAATCTCGTCTTTCTTCACATCACAATCAACTAAAGATTTCTCTTCAACAACAGTAACTCTTTTCTCATGTTCTTTTGGTCTAGAAAATTCTTTCAACCGACCTTGCCCATTTATAGAGATAACTTCAAACAAAGTTTCCATATCTCTGACCATTGATCCACCAGGTAGTTTCCGGCCAACATCGGATGCAGCATAAACACGCCAAGCTCCGTACTTTGACCGACCATGACCAGATCTAACAGTGATATTTTCCCATTCTGGAGCTGGACCAATGCAGTATGCAAGGTAGGTTTTCCTAACCTCGTGTTTGGTAAAAGCTTTCACTAGCTTGGCAGCCACTTTGTGTGACTTGGTGACAATTGTAACACCACTTGTATCGCGATCAAGCCTGTTAGCTAAATGGAGTTCTGGCAAGTTTACTCGATCTCCTAAAAAAGTTAAACAAGTGTAAACTTATGTCTGAAGTAAGAATTCATCACATATTAACCAAATTATAATACATCTTTTTATCCCTTGCTAGAATCTGATCATGATCAATATTCTCGACAGAAGAGGGCCACGTTTGAATCAGTCAAAGACCAGATGGAAAAGTATGCTGCTCGCATTATCCAAGGATCTGCTATCATTCATTCTCAAAACATATGTGAAGGTGGTGTGCATACTTAACTTCCAAAGGTTAATAAGTTTCAAAGATTTCTATGCATTGATTCGTCATAATTTATTTACCCCCTAATTGCATAACAGAATGGAGAAGGAAACACCATTACAGTCTTTCTTTCTTTTTTAAATTGATATGATCACAATAAGAATGCTAAAAGTACAGCTACATTTTGTTTATATCAGTTTCAAGAAAATAATAGCAGTGTGTAATAAATCTCCAAAGAACATCAATTTAATATAAAACCCAAAATTGCGCTGAATTAAATCAATTTTATAGAATAAACCCAATAACAAAATTAAATGCCTGTTCAAGTGAATGCACCTGAGTCAACAGAATCATTCTCAAGTAGAGTAGGAACAGCAGATAGGACACTCTCACAGTAAATTCCCCGAGGCTTATTGATGGCAATAAGCCACTCATCTTCAAAAAGAACATCATTTCCGTTAAGAGAAAAAACTGATGATTTTGAAGAAGCTGTCAAGGCCCTGTTCAACTCTATATTCTTGGATATGGATGGCAATGGTGGGGACAGTGGCACTGGGTAATTCTGCAGATTTTTCGGGTCGTTTTGCAACTGGGTTTCAAGAAAATCCAAGTCGGTTGGAGCTGCCATGGAGAGTAATCGTAAGGGTTTGGAGATTCTGAGGAAGGAATAGGAGAAAGGGGAGATGGGCATTATTGTCAACTAATTCTTGCATCCACTGTACAAGTTTTAAATAACAAGGTACAACATGTCATTTTCTACTTGCTCCTCTTTGTTTATTTCACTCAGTGTGAGCTCCCTCCTTTGGAAAAAATAATTTTTTTCAAGATTTTTTTGAATTTACATGTAAAATTACTTTATTAGGAAGATTTGTAGTTGAAAATAGTTTGAAGAGAAATTAATTTCTGTATAATGAGGTTCAGACGGTAGCTTACTCATTTTTTCTCACTCTTTCGTAGATACAATAGATGAAAATGGTTAGGTAAATTGGATTTTTTTTTTAATTATTTTTTCAAATATTTAATTAAAAACAAACAAAAATCTATTGCGTCAGTTAGCGTGCTTGATCACAACTGCTTATTACTTGTATCGAGCTTATTTTTTAGAAGGGATTGCTCGACTACAGGGCTTTGATGAGATGAGGTGGTGAGGGCTAAATGTATAGAAGTTAAAATGACGAATATATTTTTTTAAAGACATTATTCAAATTATTTAAGAACTTAAAATTTGTATCGAATATCCTTGAATATCATCTCAATCTTTCTTCACATCTTGTTTAATCCAACGGCCACCAGATAACCAATATATTTTCATAATATATTTAACAAATTAAGAAATGTAAACACCAATTGCGTTGCTTACAGGGCTGATTATTTGGATGTTAAAGCATAAGGTCCCTTCTATGGTTTATTGGGACAATTTTTTTGGGAAAAGTGGCAGCCCCTCATTGGGGGGTCGGCTGACACAACAGGTCGCGTCAGCCGACCCCTCAATGGGGGGCCAACGCTTGTGCATTATGGATACCATTATAGTATCCATAATGTACAAGTAGACGAATCCAATTTTTTTAGGCACCATTCGATTTTCTTTGCTAAGTTGTATTCATCTCAAGCGTTTTAGGGTATGTTTGCTACATTAGTACAATTCCATGTCCAAGATTTTGGCTATTTTTTTAAGAATGTTTGATGTTATAAAGTTCATCGTACCAAACATGTCGTTGGATTTCTACGTGTTTAAGATGTCAAATGAAAGTGAGCAATACTAACATTTGGTTTCTCAAACTCCATGAATATTTGCCCCAAGCATCGCATCGTACAAAAAGAAAGTTATATTGAACTAAAAAATAGTCTTAATCAAAACATTAACGGCAAAGAAATGAAACTCCTTTCCCAATTAGTAGTTTGCACCAAAGTAAAGAGTAGTTCTATTCCCATCTCTATGAAAGAAATGTTGGAAAGCTAAAAACGTGTATGGACAAACAAGGGATTATCACTAGATACATAAAATTATCCTGTTTTGCAAATCCCCTAGTTTCAGCTTCCTCACGTAGAAACTAAGCCCAGCTGTGTATATTTTGCACGACATTTGGAGTTGAAAAATCTTTGATTGGCAACGTGTATTGATAGAGCGAGTTGTTCGTTGTTGGTTCCATCTTTAAGCTTTCGTTGGGATCTTGATGAGATAACCAAGTCGTAGGCTCTGAGTCGATGCCATCAGGCATTGAATTCTCGAAGGTATTTTGAATTACTTGTGTATCAGTGATTTGATAGTTTATATGCAACTGTTTTGCAACAGCTGAGTTGACTGGATTCACATCCAATGGCTCAACCCGCGGACACATCAATTTCATATTTGTGAAAATTGTTTCTTCATTAGAGTATACGAATTGATTGTCTTCTAGCAAATGGTTCTCAGTGTCATTTAGAACTATCCTATTTGGACTAAATCCTCCAACATCTTCCATTGACACATAATCCAGTGGACTAAGAACATAATCAGCTTGTAGGTTATCCCAATCAGCATTTTCTCTGTCAGCCCAAACTCTCTGCCTTTGATTCGGACATCTATAATTTCTTGCTTTTTCATCAAAAGCAATTAGTCTCATAGGTGGCATTGTCATTGTTTTGAAGTTTTCAATATTGTCAAGGACGAAAGGAGCAGGATAAGTTCGATGAGGATATTGCGTTTCAAGAAGAAATTCTGATTCATATCCGTTCAAAGTGAAAAAAGATTTTGAACCTCCATTGATAGCTGAGTCAAAATAGGGAGATTCCTGGCTAGGGAAGGGCTTCTGGCTTAACGAGAACAATTGTTGATCACATTGCAAAAGCTTCTCATAGTGTTTCTCAAGCATCCCAGGAGCGAAACTCACATGGTGTGTTCTGATAAAAGACAGAAACAAAAGAAAGAGAAATCACCCGTCAAATAGTTACTTGAAAGTAAACTTTGACTACTTGAACAAAATCCTGATAAAAAGTATATATATTCTTTGCGATACAAACAAATCAAGAAAATAGGAAAACCCGGGAGAGTTAAGAATTGGACTAATAGTTAAACTGAAGTAAGTTTATATGGTTTTGTTAATGACATTTCAAATGACAATTAATTGGACTATAAAATCAGAAATGAAAGAAACATTCTGTTAAACAGATTTTTCCTTTTTTAATTGTAGTGATGTCGAACACAACCTTAAACTTTCTTGCTAATTCTTTAAAAGAATTTGGTTTCTACTTATATGCGAGTTCATAGATTAGAAGGCACTTTCTGAGACTGTTTTCTTTGAAAATTCGGAAATAACAAGAATTTTCTCAATGCACTACAGTTTATGTATTGATGATCAGAACAAATCAAGCCAAAAGCCAAACTTTTCAAATTATACATCATGAAAAATATTTATGGAGAGTGGAAACAAGTTGGATACCTGAAAATGGAAGCTTGTCCTCCAGTAAAATCCAATGCTTGGTGCCAAAGACTATGCTTTCGCGGCTGGGGAATGGTTTCTCTGAAGAATAAAGGTGTTTGGTTCAACTGCATTCAGTTTGTAGTAGGATTTAGCTGATTGTGAACTAATAATTCAACAGATAAGTGCAAAAGGGACTAACCTCAATCTCGAGAATTCCTGGTTCGTCGTCACGGATAATAGCTCTAATTGCAGTAATATTAGACCATTGTATCTCAATCTTACTCTTCAGTGCTCCACTCAACACTTCCCAAACCATTTTGTGTTTTCCGTAGTATATCTTTGCTGTCAAATCGCCTTCATGCCCAGAAATCCACTGTGAGCATTTCAAAGTTTGTTAAAAAACAAAACAATAAGATTCTATAAAGTTTTTAAGAAATTCTTGTGAATAAAAATCAGTGCACACCTGCCAATTTCCAATTCTAAGTAAAATCGCAGCGAAGTTCGTAGCCTTTAATTTCTCATCATATTTTGTTTTAGAACTCTGTCGTCCCATTCTGGGATTGCTCTTCGGTGAACAATCTTCTTTCCTCCATTGGGATAACTTCATCTCCAATAAATTCAGAAAAGATGGCGTCTTTCGCAGTTTCAAACCAAGAGGACTCGACTCCTGAGCCGAATCTACATCTCCTTCCTGCGAAATCAAATACTTAAATAAATACACAATCAAAATGAAACTCTCCTAAATATTTGCAAAAGTAAAATAATAGCTAGAACCAAAACTTCAAATAACATATCTGAACCAGATCATACACTTAGATAAAAATGATACAAAAAGAAGTCTATACGGTAAAACCCATCATGCATGTATATTGAAGTACTCATTCAAAAATCATTTTGGTAAAAATTAAATCCTTCCATTTGTTGATTCCGATGGCAAAATAAAGATTTTCGTTTCATACATCTAGCACTGACACCACGCACGGGACCATGTTCCCTTCTCTTCCCGTTTTGATTCTCCCACTAACAGGGGAATCTGCCGGATTTGGGAGAGGTGGGGTCAGGACATTTTGCCATCAATCATGCTACATATACATCAAGTTTGACATCACGTGAGTTGGCAGATTTTTGTACATTGATTTTAACAATACTTTTTCCAATCAATTGTCAGATTTCCTACAGATGTCAACGAGGAACATACAAGAAGCATAATTCTTTTGCCATCGTAACAAAGAGGGACTATAAATGAATAACAAGGCATGCAAAAAGTAGGGAGAAGCTAAAAACCTGCAGAGTAAACTCAGGTGACAACCTCATTCTCTTGGAAATAGAGCATTGTTCAAAACCCTGAATTCCACGTTTATTTTCTTGATTTACATAGTCTGCCAAAGGGTGACTTTGAAACTCTTCAGAGGTGGATAATCCTACACAATTCTCATTCCAACATACAATTCCCTCAACCATTTTGGCTTCAAACACGAGTTTCTTCAATTCAATTATCTCACATTTTTACTTTCCGTATATATAGGAGAAATCCTTGAAAAAAAATGGACTCTTTCTAACGTGGGACCATTACCTAGTCCCGAAACCTAAGGGACCCGTTTTTCATTTGGCGCCTTCAGGATCATAACCAATTTGTAATTTGTGAATCTCTGGAAGCATTTCATTTGTCAGGGTAAACTTTAAGATAATTACAGATTTGGTCCTCAACTTTTCTATTATGACCATTAGTCCCCAACTTATGCTTTTAAGCAATGTAGTCTCCACCTATCTGTTTTGGTACCATAGATCCTTTGTATTAGATTTTAGGGTAGATTTCACTATGGGTTCTCAACCATTTGGTTTTATAGCAATTTCATCCTCATTCAATTTTTTATCCCTCTTCCCCAACTTTGATTGGAGTGCCTTATTCTTATTCTACCTTCAATCACCATTTTAACCGTATGTTGGAGAAAGATTTTTGGAAGAGCGAGATCGTTTACTAAAACACTTATACTATTCTCATGACAAATTCTCCACATTCATCATAATTATGTTACAAAATATTCCATCAATTACCCTCTACTACTAATCTTTTTGCGACGTAAATTTTCATTGGAAATTTCTTGTAACCACCAAAGCAGCCCTACGTATAGCTGAACTTTCTAGTTGAAATATGTCATTTTGGTTCCAGGGACAAGGTTGTCCACTTCCAATTTAGTGCCTCTGATCCCTAGATTGTTGTTATGATGGAGAATTTCTTGGCGGGGTGGTAATATACAGGTATTAATTTTGGAGGGAGGGGGCTTTTTATAAATAAAAAAAATTAATTTTTTCATCCATTTTTTTATGAAAAAGATATATTTGTAATTAAGTTATAAGATTTTATATAAAACGATTAATTTATAATTAAATTTTAATATATTAATTTCTTATTTAGAGCTTGTTTGGTAGAGATTAAAATTAAAAAATTAACCATTATTGTTGACTTTTATTAGACAGGTGGGACCCAATAACGACTATATTTTCAATTTTAGCCGTTAGTGTTTCATATTGATAATACTGAACAATCAGTTTTTTATTTATTTTTGTTAAAGAATAATGAAATTTATGATTATTTATTTAATTAAAGTAACTTAAATTTTTACTCTTTTAAAAATATTTTTTTTATTAGATGGGGAGGTTGTGGGATCACCACCACATATGTGAAAACTTCACATTGTCGTACCCATGTAAATTCTATTTTAAATTAAAAAGTTCTTTTGAATTCTACAAAAATCTTTAAAAGTTTTAAAATAAAGTCTATAGAAATCTACGAAAAATTCCATGAATTCTATACAAATCGATAAAATCCACGAAAATCATTTCTTGAAAAAATCTATAAAAATATTAAAAAATCTCAATTGAATACACCCTCTCTAAAGAATGAGGCCCAAGTGCGACATGTTCGAGTTTAAGACATGTAGGTGCAAATGTCCCTAGTTCTTATGAAAATGGACTTTTTGGAAGAACTCACGGAAAGAACAAATCACAAGTGAATAACAAACCATTAGTGGAGAATATTGTTTATGGAGAATAAAAAACGATAATCGTGCAGTGATCATTATCAAATGAACTATTTTGAAGAGAGCTTACGAAGTTGAGTCCAGGAAATTAATAACAAACTTAACCACTAAATCAAGTCACAACTTTTACATGTTTATAGAAGAATATGCTTTCTTATTTTACCATTATGATGCATTAGTACAATCGTCATTGGTGGAAAAAAAAGGCATACTCAACATTTTTTTACAATAATTTTCAATTATAGAGCGATGCTCAGCTTTTCCAAACTCTACCATTCACTGTATAATTAAGTCACCCTTTGTAGTATAATTAAATCACGTATAACAATTTAGAGATAGGTGCTAATAATGGAGGAACAACCAAACTCAAGAAATAGACGAACTATTAAGTTAAGGAGTTCGAACAAAATTAGGAGTGGACAAAATGACCAAATCAGAACAAAATAAAACCAAAATTAGGGACTCGTTTTTCATTTGGTGGCTACAGGATCATAACCAATTTGTAATTTGTGAATTTCGAAATTATTAGATTGGAAGCATTCCATTTGCCAGGGTTAACTTTAGGGAGAATTATAAATTTGGTCCTCAACTTTTCTATTATGACAATTTCATCCTCAACTTTTGTTTTTTTAGCAATGTAGTCTCCATCTATCTGTTTTGGTACCATAGATCCTAGGTAATATATGCTAGGGTAAATTTCACTCTGGGTTCTCAACCTTTCTGTTTTATAACAATTTCGTCCCCATTCAATTTTTTATCCCTGGCCCCCAACTTCAGAATAGAGTTGTCTTATTCTACCTTCCATCCCCATCTTAGCCATTTTGGGAATGTATTCAATTAAAAAATAATAATATTTTTTTAAGTCTTGAGTGTTCAAATTGTCAATAACTTTTACAGACATTTATAAAAGTCTCTAATTTACTAAAATACAAAAATAAAATCTCAAAATTTGTCTATCGTTCATCCCAAGATTTTTGCGATATGTGTGTGTGTGTGTGTTTTGTTTCTTTCAATATTTTTCTTTTTATAGATATTACTCCATGGTTAAAATTTAGTCTTTGTATCGGTTATGTTTGTTACCATTTTTTTTTTTTTTTAATCTCCACGTTTTATGAAAAATTATATTGTAATTAAAGATTTTTATTTTTTTTTCCCTTTTTCATCCTTTTTTTTTATGAAAAAGATCTATCTGTAATTAAATTATAAAATTTTATATAAAAAGATTAATTTATAATTAAATTTAAATATATTGATTTCTTGTCTGGACTTTGTTTGAGCCCCATTTTAATGAGAAAATAGGTTTTGCAATAGTAATTTTTTTGAGATTGTGTGATTGAAAGGTTGAAAAAAATTTTGGATTTAAGTGTAAAATTATTTTATTTAGAGAATGTATGATTTAAAATGAATTTGAAAAAAAAACGATTTTTTTTTATAAAATGGGACTCAAACAGTGGCTTAATCTTTAAAGTATTTCATATTGATAATATTGAACATTAAATATTTTTACTAATTTTTTTTAATCAAAAAATAATAAAATTTATAGTTATTTATTTAATTAAAGTGACTTAAATTTTTATTATTTTAAAAATATTTTTTATTAGATGGATAGGGGTAAATGAATTGTGGGAACCACCACCACACGTACACGTACGTGAGAACTTCACACTATTACAATAGACCTACATGAACTATATTTTAAAATAGAAAGTTTTCAAATATCTTTTGAATTCTATAAAAGTCTATAAAATGTTTAGAAATAAAACCTATAGAAGTTTTCGAAAGACTTCCATTAATTTAATAAAATCTATAAAAACCCACGAAATTCACAAAAGTCATACTTAAAAAAAGTCTATAACAATCTCAATTGAATACACACTTCTTGAGGAATGGGGCCTAAGTGCAACATGTGTTGAAGTTTGAGGCTGTAGGTGCAAATGTCCCTAGTTCTTACGAAAATGGATTCTTTGGAGGAAGTCAGGGAAAGAACAAATCATAAGTGAATAATAGACAAATAGTGGAGAATATTGTTTATGAAGAATAAAAAACGCCAATCATGTTGTGGTCTTACCAAATGAACTATTTTGTAAGAGCTTGTCAATTGAAAAGTGTCTAATTTTGATAACTCTTGCAGAAATGGCCAAATTTGGTACCAAATTATTTTTTATACCCTTAATAAAAAATGAAGCAATTTTTATTTTAATTTGTCACGAATTTCAAGAAGAACGAGTAGTTTCCATGAGAAGTTACATTAATGCTAGCTAATACCTAATTGATTCATTTGCTTTCATTATCTATTAGGTATTGATTAAGGATTTTGGGAAAAAATGAAGAAGGTGAAATAAAAAAATTATTAAAACTAAAAAATAATTATATGCTTCCAATTCATAAGAAAATCATATAAAGTCATTTCGAAAAATTTAATCTCATCCAAATTTACGAGTTGATTAGGCTTTCCACAATTCTCGGTGAAAGTAATTTTCTTTGAAATCTTGTTTTATTGATAAGTTGTGTTTAATAGTTGTTATTCTGGACATTTCATGACGTTCTCGACATTTTAAAAATTGTTACAATATTTGAACTATGTTTATCTTGACACTTGAAACTTCATTTGTCTAAAACAATATTTCGTTTTGAACATGAGAGTTCTTTATATTTCATAATGTTCCTGACATTTTACAACAGTTTTCAATCAGAGAGCAATGCTTAAAAATCCCCTCACAGTAAAATAAAGTCAACCTTTTGCAGTATAATTAAGTCGTGTAACAAATTAGAGAGAGGTGCTAATAATGGAGGAACAACCAAACTCGAGAGTTAGAAGAAAGATTAAGTTAAGGAGTTCGAGCAAAGTGGCCAAACGTAGTGTGAAAACTCTTGTACTCAATTGTAAACTTTTGATATTTAAGGAGTTCTTTATGAAAGTATTGTGAAGAACATATTTAAAATGTATTATAGGAAAAGATTAAATAATTTTGAGCATTAAATTGATAAATAAAAACTTTTGCTTCCATGATTAATCATTAAGATAT